ATGTAAAGGTACAAGTTCCCAATGAGAAATGTAAATATATTGTATACCTAAAGTGTACCAATAATAGAATTTTTTTTAAAAACCACACCCTCCAACTCCTTTGCTTAGTGATGAAGGTCACATTTCATCTTCATCTATATGAACTTTTATTTCTTATTTGGTTCTGAACTTGGAGTCTATATGTTCAGAAGGGGTGGATAGTGCACAAATTTACTGGCTCCTTGAGTTTTACAGTTGCATAGATAAAATGCTGCATGTGCAAATCAGTGAAACCCGTAGCAACTGGTATGAGCAAAATGGCACTGGAGGACGTGTGTGATTTCAAAAACAAAATAAAATCATTTTTGAGTCTTTTCAGGTAGATTGAAATTCCTCTAAGGAAGGTACAAATTGGGCCTGGGATTTAGCTCAGTGATTCCACCACCTGCCTCACAAGCACAAGGTCCTCAGTTTGATCCCCAGTAAAAAAAAAGGACAAATTTGCAAGAAAATTAAAATCAGCAGAAGATGAGATGTAACTAGGGCTTATATGATGTAGAAAAGTCTAGAATTACATCAGGATACCACAGAGAGGAGATACTGATGCAGACTGGTACATTTCTGGAGATCAAGCTCATCCTTGGAGATGCCTGTAACTTGCGGCTGTGTATAAGTTTATACACATGTGGATAAATACAATGAAATAAGACAAGTCAATTTACCTCCATCTATGTAATTTCAGTTTTCCAGTTTTTTTCTATTCTTTTCCACCTTTTTTCTCCTTTAGTTGTGATTTCTACAGGGCATTTATGAAATAATATAGAGACTCCCCAAATTGCAGAGCAGTGAGGGCCAGCTACTCAACTTTTCCAAGACAAAGTGTTTAGAGTCTAGAAAACAGCAGCTTGGAGAGTAATTGAAGTGAGTGGAGGCTACCTAGGAACCATGAGGGAACTAACAGAGGAGAAGAAACTAGGATTAAGTGATAGAGAAGAAATATATCACACCTGGGAGGAGAGACTGATCAGCAAGACAGTGGCTAGCAAGCTGACAGCTGGGAGGTAAAGTGAAACTAACAACTTTCTGCTCCCACAGAACAGAAGAACTGCATCAGGACAAAAGAATCACCTGCAGCTGGAACAGGCAAGGAAAACATGGGACACTGCTTCCACAGCAGCCTTCCACAATCACCAGTGGGTGTGTGACCTTGGGACAAGTGCCCACAGCTACAACTGTTTCTTTGCCAGTACCATGCTGTTTTTATCACAGTAGCTTTGTAGTAGAGTTGCAGGTTGGGGACTGTGATACCCCCAGCCATGTCTCTGTTGCCTAGAATTGCTTTTGCTATTCTGGGTCTCTTCTTGTTCCAAATGAATTCTTGGATTGTTTTCTCAAGGTCCGTGAAGTATGCTGCTGGGATCTCAATTGGAATTGCATTAAATCTATGTAGCAGTTTTG